ATAGATGACTCTATGATGCGATAACTCTTCATCGGTCAATCATATAATATAGGGTCATAAGGACGCTTTATCGACGCCATTTTGACAGTTGACATTTTTATAGTAAATATTTCAATCGATTTTAGATGGTGTGGTGTAGTTAGTTTTTAAGTTGATTTTTCGAAGTGTTCCTAATATTGCCAAAGCTTGTTATTTTTTTCTTAATATATATGTTATAAAGACTTTGTGTTTTCTCTGTTCTTTTGTACTTTTACTTTTGTCTCTGCTAGTTTTGGTTTAAAGGTCGGCAAAGCTTAAGGTACGTGAACTCTTGAAATTTGAAACGACATTTCCACAATTATTTCGCCATATACCAGCTAGTATTGAACAAAAATGATTCTATTTTATTCTAATGACCAGACAACTTGGTGTCTTCAACTCCTCTCGTGATAAATTCCGAAGCAAATTATTGAGTAGGTACAACCCAAAGGAATATGTTCGCTACGCTTCCGCTGGGCAGGTTGGTTGAGTAGCATAGAAGCGATACCTTCGTTCTAACAGAATTGTTAAAAAAAAACCAATAATTTAAAACAGGAATAACAAAAAAGAGATATTCAAAATTTCCCATTAAGCAACCCTAAAAAACACATACCGGCCCCTTGGCTCGCCAACATTACGATAATGTCAGCAAAACTCCCCACGGACTCCAGAACATGAGGACCCTTGTTCGAAAGCCCTTTCTGCTTCTACAGTCGCGTGAAAATGGGACATTATTAAATGTGGCGACAGAACTAATATTTTTTTGTATTAGTAAATTAAAAATAACAAGTAAAAGTAAAGATATGTAGTACATGTATAGTTTAATAAATAAAAATAATGTAAGAGTTCTTTATCATCCTACTGTCTTCTGCTGGGCACAAATTTGTTTATTGTGAAGGTAAAGAAGTGAGAATAAAGTCTAGGTCTACGAACTAGAAGAGAAGTCTATCTGCTTCAGTGCGTGTTGTTTGATTTACAGTCCTTAAAATACTTTTTTATTTCTCGGAAATCCAACCTTTTTATGTTTTCTTTCACCACCAAGAATCAGCTTTTAAAAATAAACATTTATATATAAATTTAAGAATAAGCAGTTATGTGCATGACTGTCTCACCCGCTCATGCAGGGTGCGATCACACTTATAATTGACTTATCTCGATAAAGTGTTTGGGAATAAATCCACAAAACATAGTGTGTGTGCGCCCTAACGCCCCGTGCCAAATTAGTTAAGTGCGGTCCGTCTCGATTATTGTTTTTATCTGTGTAATCTTGTTTATCTTCTTTGGTTTATGTACTTAAAACGATGGATGACGCTGGAAGCTTTTAGGAAAGTCTCTTTGATCATTATCAACTTTTAAAATCATACCATCGCAAATAAAGAATAAAGATTCAGGTAACAAACGAATATTTTTTGAAGAGGATTTGGCTTGCTATGTTTTTATATTATTGTTTTGGGCTGATTATTTAACTGATCTGACTTATCATTGAATAATTGTACTGATGAAAATAATGACAGTGTAAAGTTTTATTCACATCAATTTAATAAGGTAGACTATGTCATCTAAGGCATTATGATTAACCTACATTAAAATTTTGTAATATTGTGTAAAATGGTAAGGTAAAAATCTTTAATTTATCACCAGTTTCCGACTCGAAAATCAAATGTGCTTGAAATCAGCCGGGGGAAATATTTTTTTATTTCCATTATGAAATTTCGCTTTTATTAAATATATTCTAGTATTTAAAATATTTAAATATATTAAAATAATAACGTGATATTTAACGTGAGATAATATAATAAATTACGTTTTTTTTTAATTATATCAGAAGTTAAGAAGAGACAAAAGTATATGACCAATAAAGCCGCCATAATTTCATAAATTGAAATCGCTTGTGAATTTAATCTTGCTGCTTCGACTAAGGAATCTAGTTACTGCTTACCATCAAATAATCTCGACACATTGCTTAACAGGAAATAAAATTAATGTTTTCATATTTTCCTTAAAAAATTGGGTGTTATAAAGACCAACATGGCAATGTTTCATACGCCACGTACACTGTCATCAAATTTATAATACTTTTCATATTATCTTTACAAGTGGTAATGTAGACAATGTATTATTATCAAAGAGACATTGCAATCCAGGGCCTCGGTACCGGCGAATCCCACGGGGATCCTATTGTCCCTAATACACTCCGTCAATGACATTGCGAGGGTACTTTGTGTTCCCAACAAAATATTGTCCGACTTGTTTTGAATATGCCGTAACATATTTCACACGTGATTTAGAAAATATAAGTTATTATCTTTTTATAACTTATATTTAACTTCCCAGTGTGTAGTTATTGTAAAGGGTCCGATTTTGGAAATTGGAAATTTTAACATATCTCCACGTTTCAAGATCTTTAGATTCCAATAGTATGGTTTTTAAGAGGATGTCCGTGTGTAAACATGTATGAATGTACGTGTGTACGTTCGAATTCAATTTTTGCCTCGTATATCTCGAGAACAAAGAGTGATATTGACATGGGACCAGTTTCATTTGACGCGTAATTATGTAACTTAGACCTCATTAAATTTTTAGCAAAATCGGTCCAGTCGTTTTTTGCGCCGAATGAAAAATTGCATAAAATATTAAAACATATTATGATAGTTTTTTATTCGTTCCACTGGGAAGTTAGTCGTGTGGACCTTTCGGGTCGCATCCAGACCGCTTTTTTAATATGTGCGAGCGGCTATGCAGGTCTAGGGAAGGAGACCAGTATCACTGCGACTTAAAAGATCTACTCAGATCACTGCTATGACTATAGTTCACTGCTAAGCCCTATGTCTTCAATGAATAGAAGGAGTTGCTTAGTCGTGAGTATTTTTACTTCTTCTGGGCGGAATACATAGTTTCCCAGATGAGTGTTACGTTTGCGCATTGAGGGTCCGCAATAAGTCAGAATGTGTAGAGACGTTTCTTCCGTTATAGAAGAGAACTGACACATCGTTGAGTTGCTTAGTCACAGGATGGAAATGTGCTTTTTAAGACAACAGTGTCCAGTTAGGGCTCTTGTCAGAATGCGCAATTTAAAAAAAGTTATATTACCTATTTATCTAATTTATTAGACTACAGTGCAGTGGCATTCGTTGAAAGAAAACTGTTACAAAAATTGCACAATACTTTACTTACGTTTCCAAATCTACACATTTTAATAAAATTGAAGTCGTCTGTTTGTAATTTTGAAAAACAGGCTTCAGTTCTGCTCAGAGAGGCATTTGTTTGATATTAAAGGCATAAATAACCATTTTATAAATTTTTATCTGTTTCATGAACAGATAGGATACCGACCGGGGCTTAGGCTATATATTTACCCGAAAAACTTAAACACTTTAAAAAAAAAGTAAAATTAATAAAACAATTGATCTTTGACTTTCTTAAATCTAAATAACGCCACTCTGTTTGAAAACGGGGCAGGTAACTAATTAAAATATAAATGACAGTTTCAAAAATATTATATACATTTTTAAATATCCGATAAATAAAATATTTTTATATACTAGCCTTCGGAATAAAATAACAATTAACTTAAATTTCACATTCGAAAATCAAATCAAGAATAACGACAGAAACAATAAATCACAAAACAAACGGCTGCACTTTAAGCGAAAGGGTAGGGTGTCCAGTACTAATCAAATTGTCATAATACAGTCCCATTATTTTATTGAGCAGCCTGAATTTAATTTTCGTCGATCCTAATACCATGTCCCGAGGGACGGGGCGTGAGTGTATTGTACTCGTACAGGGACCTGGTGCTTTGAAGTAGGGTGGCAATGAATGGTTGATTTGGGAATATACAGTGCGATCATCGTTGTGGCATATTGTTGTGATTTTTGGTAGAAATTTCGATGCGCTGTTCTGGTTTGAACATTGCATAAGGTCAAAGAACTATAAACTGTTGAACAGTTGTAATTGACAATTGACCCAGCTGCAGCTTTGCGACTTTTTATACATGGTAGAGCCACGCTGCAGTTATATTAGAAGTAAAGTTGTAGCAGGAATGGATCGGCTCGAGCGGGGAAGGACCACGCTCTCACAGAATACCAGCCAAAATATTAGCTTAATGAGACCCTTTTTACTGGAAACGAGGCATTTCATCTTAGTCCTCACGGGTGACAACGCATCTGCATTTTGATTCGTAATCGAGGATAGATGTATATATCTATGGACCACAGCAACCACTTACCATCAGGTGGACTGTGTGCTCGACTGTCGTCACCGTATCCTATAGAAAAAAGCTAGATTATGGTTGTAGCAGGAATGTGTTGGCTCAACAGGGCGAGGATCATGCACTCACAGACTACAAACATAAAATAGCAGCTCAGTGCTGCTGTGTTTCGTATGTGGAGTGTAGAGATAGAACCGGAGGCATACCATCTTAGTCCCCAGGAGTGACAACACATCTGCATTTGGATTCTTAATCGAGGATAAATGTAGATGTATGTGTGTCGCAGTATCCACTTACCATCATGTGCGTTTTGTGCTCGATTACACTATATAAGTCCATTTTTGGACATAGACTGCACCTGTTATAGCCTTACGCCCGGGTATTGTATGTCGAACATAATCGAGATCGACCGCAACCTTTCGGAAGACATATATAACCCAGCACCCAATTTCGTCCTGTGGGTTTCATAAGAAGTGACTATGAGAAACGCATAAGGCATCTGTCCCGTGGTGTTATAGTTATTTATGGGCGTAGGTAGTCACTTATCATCACGTGAGACGGCATACTTCCCCCCGCCACTCATTTAAAAAAATGTCAGAAACTTACATTACCATACATTAACATTAAGAAATGTTTTTTCATAATTAAAAAAACATTTAGACTCTTTATAGACCCTGCGTGCGTATTTGTCACCCTTATACTATAAAATAAAAATGGTCTTTGTAAATAGCCATTCCATGCCAAGATGATTACCAAAAATTCTTTGTTGCAGGTACTATGAGACGGGCAGCTTCAAGGCCGGCGTCATAGGCGGCTCTAAGCCTAAAGTCGCAACTCCACCCGTGGTTGACGCCATCGCAGCGTACAAGAGAGAAAACCCTACCATGTTTGCCTGGGAGATCAGAGATCGGCTCCTCAGTGAAGGAATTTGCAGTCAGGACAACGTGCCCTCAGTTTCCAGTATCAATAGGTATGAAGCAAACTTGTATTATAAATTCCTAGTATTTGCAGAGCGCATCGTAGCTCGTAGTATAGCTGAAGTACGAATGGGTCAACTCAACTGGAAAAGGACCATGCGCACACAGAATACCAGCTGGAATTCGCAGCATAATGCTGTGTTTCGTATGGTTAGTGAGGAAAACCTAAGACTGTTCTTACTGGTAACAATACATTGCAGTTTAGTCCTCCGGAGTGACAACGCATCTGCATTTTGCTTCATTATCGAGGATATATGTAGGCAGACTGTACGCCCGTTCATCACGCACTTCAATGAAAAATTAACAATCGCATTCAGATAGGATGTAAAGGGAAGATATCAGCTTTTATTTTCACAAGCTTATTATGTGGAAATTATTTTAAGCTTTTTTCGTTTCGAAGTTGGTTTTTACTATTTATTAAGTTTAATTTTTATACAACCTAGATCAGTAAATGATAAAATGCACCTTAAGGTTACTGCAGCCCGTAGTCCATGGGCACCTGGAACCAACCTCAAGCAAATACTACAATAGGTGCAACAATGGAAACTTTATCCAAAATAAAATGTGAACAAAAACAGAATGTACTCATACTTCCAAATGTTTCTACCAAGAATACAAACCGTTACGCCACTTTTAGGAAAAGCTTTGCTTAATGTTTTACCACAGCTGTTATTGTAAGGTTAACCCTTTGCTCTTTTCATTAAAGTGCTATTTTGTATGCTCGATCTAACAGAATAGGAAAGAGTTTGGTAGGGCTATGAAATTTGCTATTTTATTAATTATTAAGTATACACATTATATAATTCAAAGGTAAAATTGAGAGTACCTTAGTCGATGATCATGTATATATATTTGGAAGAGTATTTAATGTTTGCATATAATATATAACGTGAACGTGAAAGAAGCGAGAGAGGTATGTCAGGATCGTGCCAAATTTAAGTCTGCACCCCTCTGGCTGACAAACATAATATGAGTTTATTTTAAATCTGATGATTAAGAAATTTCTTTTTACTAGAAAATAATACACAGGTGTTAAGAATCCAGAATCTATGAGTCCGTCTGGGTACCACCTATGTCTTAAATAAGTGTAAGTAGATAGAAAGTGCACATAGTCCTGCGCGGATAAAACTGTCCGCAAGGCAATTCAAGTAAAAAGAGCATAGAGAGTCAGTATACAAGCTGGGAGGCATTCTATCTTAGCACTCAAAGGCGACCTGACGAGACGTTTCTGTAGCTTCTGTTGTAAGAAATTGCTACTGCCAATTCGTTTGTCACTTCAACCTTAAAAAAAACAATAATAAAACACAACGAAAATCCTTTTCTCGATCTTTTCGCGGCCCAAATGGCAAGGGGTTGCGTGACGGCGAGGAGAGCGAATCCCGGAAGCCGGGAAGCGAGTGGGGGAACAAAGATGGCGGCACCGGAAGCCGGGACACGTGCTCCGCGCGCACCGGACATCCCGCGCCTTGCGTCCATTGAATTATTGCCATTCTCCGTAAAATATAATAATAATATACAATTGTAGCATCTCGTCAATTTTCCCGTTTTCTGGAATGATACGGTTTCGGCTTTTGTCAGTTATAAGGAACACCGTTTTGCTTTTAAGAACTTAATGTTTGGTTATAATATGATTGATGCGTGAAGAAAATACTATATGTGCTGAATTGTTGTATACAATAAAGCATTAATCATACTATTATATATGTTGTATAATTTACCAAAAAATATATTGATGTTTGCCGATATTAACAAAAAAATCGCCGGTCTAATTAAGCATAATGTTGAGAGATAAGATAAAGCTTCAAGTTCCAACCAGTAGGGGAACATTGTTATTAATTTGTCGACGCGTGTCGTTTTTATCTTGCTAATCTAAACGCTACCGTTTATTAATTTACGTAAAAATATTCGCTGATATGTTGTCAATAGATTATAAATTTGTTTGCTTTGATATTATACTAGTGAAATGAACCTGTATCAGAAAAGTGGCAGGAAATAATTTTGGAATTCAACCATTCATTACAGCTCATTAAAAGTCTAATGTTAAACATAGCCCTCGCTCAGAGTTTGCCACATAGTAGGTATACTTCTCATAGTTATAACGCTTGGCAGGCGCCCTCGCAGTTTTATAATTATTTTAAGTACTTATTAGGAAAATGCGGTTGCCTATTATAATAAAGAAATTAATTAATTTGCAACCTCAGTGACTTAGCCGTCGGCCGCCGTAGAGTCTACGTCACTTGAGGATGCCTCGTGTACAGGCGAAACACGTGTCGTATTATCGTCGATGGTGTGTCCTTCCTGGAGTAGTGGTGTTGGGAGTACTGGTGCCGGGATTAGTGCATGCAATTGAGGGAGGGCGGGAGATGTTCTTCATCCAGGTACGAGTAGGACACATCAGTGTATTTAGTTAGTGCATGGTTGCAAATTAATTAATTTCTTATATAGGATTTCCGCAAAATAACGCCTGATTCTATCAACTAGCCTATCTGTTATTTCAGTTTATATCTGTCACCTCTTACTTGTGGCAGTGAATTCACTATTTAAATCAAAAATTAGATGCGATGCCACCGCTGATGTCTTGTTACCATAAAACTTAAACCGTACGAATCACAGCAAATTAAGCTGCTATTTTTCACCTTGATATTCTGTGTCCCTTACCCTGCTCGAGATGATTCATTTGTGATGAAACGTGGCTTCACCGTATTACAAACCGCGGTATAATTGAAAACATAGTAAAAGTTAGTCAGGCAGGCAACAAGCAAGAGCACGCTGGCATGTTGAGGAATATTGAAAATAACCTCTATATTTATTTGTTTCTGTATAGGATTATTTATTGTTTCTTTTCGAATAAATTAGTTTCGAGCAAGTTCCAACGCAAATTTCAGTACAACCTGACTCAGCGCTCGTAGTGAACCCTCAGTTCATTCCGAATCGCCCGGGACCGCGGGAGTCCATTATCGAACAATAAACCAGGATTATTGGTCTCAATAAACAGTCGCACTCCACTGGGGGACTTTTTAAATCGTATTAGTGCAGAGTTTGCGTTTTAAATTGGCAAAATTGCTGTACTGTTTTTGGAATACCTGAAGGTTGGGTTTCTTTTATTTGTGATTAAATTAGATTCGTGGAGTGCATTCGTAATTGCTTTCAGTTACATTATAAAATATGGATGTTTTTAAATGTCATGTAACAAAAGTTTTTAAACTGTTCTGTTAATACATAATTTTCATTTATGTTTTTGAATTAAGATTCACGAATAAATAGCAATGTTTTAATCAATTGTAACCTAAACGTTCACTTGTACTTGATATTTGTAAATGAGCTTCTTCTAAACATTTTAGGGCATAATCACAACACTTAGAAAACAGATACTTACAAAATACTTGCGTACGGTGATGACTACATTTCATAAGCCTGGGTATTTTAATTCTTATATATTCTTAATTACTATATTACCCTCCTCCATCTTCTTATCTGCGCTTAGTCGCTCCAAGGGCAGGCAGATCAGAGATCACAATACCAAAGGGCACTCCTGTGATGCTATTTTCCGACACCAGTCTGAAGAAAATGGAGTGACAAACGAATACACAGTATATTTTTACTTAGTCTGAAAGATTATAATAATTCTAATTTAACTACCGTCTTTAAATTTAGGCAAGGATAGCGAAAATCAAGAGTCAATTTTAAAGCAATTGCCTGCTCAATACAAGGGTGATTTTCACCCTCTGACACGTGTACGGCACGTGCACGTAATGTGCCGTTGCCAGTCCATCCTATGCGGTCGCATGACGGCTAAATAGGAATCTATTTGAGTGGAAGCTGCAAGTTTAGTTGCAATATTCAAGCGTGATGGGAGTTTTCACGAAAAGTGTTATAAACCCTGTGCCAGCAAGAACTGGAGGGATTAGAATAAGAATGTTTATTTTAACTTACGTGCATAAGGAGGTCAAAGAATTTGAAACGTTGAGGAATTTCTGTGTTAAAATCACGTAGCTCAGTAATCTGAGTACTTGACGCCTAACTATATCGCGATAACATAATTTAAATCACAACCCAATAAATATTAAAATAGTAGGTCCTTCGAGCCAGATCAATTATCTGGGGTGCTGGTATAAATGAAACCTACATAAATTAATACTTAGAGAACTGAGTAAAAATAAATAGTAACGTAATAAATGGACAGAATAAAGATGTTACGTGATCAGTTGCAAGGAAAAGAAGGGTGTAAATCGGTTATGTGCACCGATTTAACACAAATATTATTGCCAGTGTAAATTAGATTCAATATTTATTGTTCGTTATTTATGGAACCAACAGACCGGTACTATTAGGTGGAAAGTAAGTTTATTTGTCACTTCCATTTATACGTGGTAGAACCATGCTGTAGCTATATTATGGTTATAGTACGGATACGTCGGCTTAACCGGGGAAGAACCACGCTCTTACAGAATAACAGCGTAGAATTGATATTGAGGATTTTAAAATAGATGTTAACGTAGCTTAATACTGCCAAGTTTTGTATGGTGAGTGTAGAGAACCGGAAACCCTTATTACCGGATACGGAGCATTTTTGCATTTTGATTCTTAATCGAGGATAGATGTAGATATCTATCAGCATTCACTTACCATCAGGTGGAATGTGTGCTGGCTTGTCACCCTTATTCTATAAAAAACAGTATACAAATTTGTCTTAAATTCGATTAGTGGGTTTCTTTTTGTCTAGTAGTCTGCCTACGTTGACACCATCCTATAACTATTTCTTTTTGTCTAGTAGTCTGCCTACGTTGACACCATCCTATAACTATTTCTTTTTGTCTAGTAGTCTGCCTACGTTGACACCATCCTATAACTATTTCTTTTTGTCTAGTAGTCTGCCTACGTTGACACCATCCTATAACTATTTCTTTTTGTCTAGTAGTCTGCCTACGTTGACACCATCCTATAACTATTTCTTTTTGTCTAGTAGTCTGCCTACGTTGACACCATCCTATAACTATTTCTTTTTGTCTAGTAGTCTGCCTACGTTGACACCATCCTATAACTATTTCTTTTTGTCTAGTAGTCTGCCTACGTTGACACCATCCTATAACTATTTCTTACGCCAAGTAGCTGAGAACCATTACTGTGTTCGGGTTTGAAATAAAGTAAGCGAGTACAAATAAACTCTCAAAATATGATATTCCATCTTAGACCTCAGAGGTGGCAACGCATCTGTGGCCTTTTTTGTTGCAAGTTGATTACGGGTATTTAAGGGCTGCAGTACCCAGTAACTATTAGGTTTACCGTAAAGTATTTGTTATTCTCAAGTTTGGTTACTATCGTATTAAAAAATATTGTAGGTGTCAGCAGCTAGTGGTATTTATTATTTTTATGAAATCCAACTACAACATATTTTACCTTCTACTACTTTCATAGTGAATAATAGATTTCTGCAACTTTTGGTAGATATTCTTCATCATCATCACCGTTACAGCCTTCCAAAGTCTACGGCTATGCATAGACCTCCCCCAATAGATGGTTGCAGTATTAAACCTATTTGTCACACTTGGTAGGCGCGTTGGAACAACGGTTGTTATCATTTTATTAGAAAGAAAGAAAGAAAGACTATTTAATTGATAAAACATTTCATAAAAAATAAACACATCATTAATTAATAATAGAACTTAATACAATAATACATAAATACATAGACTCAACTCACGCTGAAAGCGCTTGTTTTCAGTTGGAGAATTGTCACTTCACTGGTCTTGTGAGTCCAATTACTGCTACCCATCTCCTATTTCAGTTTCCTTCTGTCGCCTCTTACCACCCACGGGTTGAAATGGGGTAGGGAACGCCGCGAGTACACGGCGTATTTAGATATTACTAAAAAGTATTATTTATAGTAGAAGATAATTTTACTACCAGCCAGTTCCATATATTAACAAATATAAATGGCAGTAGAGTAAGTGTTGCAACATACACAAATATTATATTTCCTAATTTCGGCCACTAAACCCATTCTTTTATCGTTAAATCATTTTAAATTCGACATACGGACAACCGCCTCTCGTACTTATAAAAACCAACTTGGCGAAACGAAGTCATAACCATAAAAATACCCTCATGAAACAATGAAATAAAAACAGCGAACAAAAAATCGCCAAGTTGCAAAACATCAAGACATTTTTAATCGAGGGCACCGCCGGTTGTAATTGGAGCCATAACTCTGGCAGCCCCGTTTTGACATTTGATTTTTTCCCGCGCAAAACTGTGTAATTCGTCCGATAGGATAAATTAGGTTGGATTTTTTATGGGGTTGAGTGCTGTCAGCGGTAATGTAGTTTTTTTTCCTTCTTTTGATTATATTCTTTTTTAAATAGAAAACGGAGTATTTATTGTAGTTATAGGGTAGCTTTTCTAAAGGAATACGTAGTATGTTGTACTTATAGGCACTACTAAATGGATATCGTAATATTATGCACAATAGAAGGGTCTTCAAATAAGGGTTAGTAGCCCTTCCGTCCGGAAACGGAAACGCCGTAATGTTTGCAAAATTTGTCCATGATAAATAATTCGTGATTGTACCTTAAAAAATTTAATAAAAATAATAAATTGCGCCGGACAAAAATGATCTTTTTTTACACTTGGTATAAGCTTAATACTATTTATTAACTATAATTTCTTCTCTATATTTAGCCGAATTTTAATAAACATAAATAAATAAGAGCATTTTGAAGAACGCCATCAATCACTAAAATCCCTCGCTAGGTAAAAACTGATTAATCTATAACAACCCCAAATTCTAATAAGACCTTTTTATAAGTTCGTAAAACAATTTTTGCATATGTCAACCCCGAAGATACTCGCAATAACTCACCAAGCGCGCGCTATTATCCATCATGGCGGGAAATGAACTGTCATCCCGCGACGTTGGCAAAATGGCCACAAAACAGAATAATGAAATCGTTGTCGTAGTAATATATTTAATTTGCACACCTTATGTCGAAAATTAAACTACGATTCTAGTCATTTTAAGTGTATACATTATGTTAGGTATATGAAAATGACACTCTCCTTGAGAATATTTATTCGTTTCGTAATGTTTTCCGTGAAATTATCTAAAGATAATTTTAGTGTCATACCGTGTGGGGACGACGTAAGAAAATTCATTCATCTATAAAAAATTACAAAAAATCTAATGGCTTTAGATAGATGACGGTGTCTCGTTTACGTCTAGGTTTGCCAGATTGGAAGACCAAAATATCTGGACAAATTTTGAAAATGTCGGGATTTTGGGGTTGTTGTTGGGCGAAATAAATATTAAAAATAAAAAGTTTATTTTTAATTAAGAGGCCACAAAAATACGTAAATAATAAATATTTAAGTACACTTCATTTTTAGGTTCTTGTAGACTTTACTATAGTCCACTAATTTGGATTCTTTAGTACTATTCAGAAAATATTTAAAATTCAAACAATTTATTTCAAAGTTTAGTCTAATTACTAACTATGCTTTTATTAAATCAAAGACCATACGTTAACTTTCAGAGAAGCTATTAGTCTGTAGATTTTGAGTTTAGTCGGGAGTCTGGAGACCATTTGAATATCGGGAGAATCTAGACGAATCCCAACCATCTGGCAACCCTTTTTATGCCAGACGCTTATTTACGGTGACGGGCAGCAGTGCCAAAAGACAAATATGACCTATAGTGGTGGTTTCATTAGATCCTATAAAAGTCCACAGCTAAACATGGACCTCCTCCACAGATTGCCGCAAAGGTGGTATTTTTGGCACAGTTTGGAAGCCGCTTGGTTTTATTTTTGCTTGGCAGGCAGGTTGGCAACTGTGGTTTTTATTATTTTGAGTTGTTATCAAGAAGATTCTGCTGCCCTCCTTCATGTTTATGTTTCCCTCTGTCGCATCTAATAGAGCCCACGGTTATTTATTCTGTGCCCACGGGATGATATGGGGTAGTGGGTATTCTTTCATTCCCACTACACGGTGTATATAGTTGTGATTATGGACGAATATTCCAGTTATTACCAGCTAACGCATTCTTGAAAAGTCTTGTGAAACAGCTGCTTATGACGACCTAGTTAAAAGTGAAGAAAAATAAAACAAAAACTAGTCAAACGAGCTTGAGGTTCGTGCAGATTTCAAACTGGCCAATTAAAGATATTTTTTATAAACATATACTGGAAAAATATCTACATGTTTGTGTTTTTTTATCAGATACATGGACACCTAAAAGTCACAAATATAAAGAAGTACATAATATTAATATCAAAGCAATGTTTAAAATACAAATTTAGAATGAAATAAGTATAGTCAAATAAGTAGAAAACCATTTTATTTCATTTACACCTATATGTGTCTTTAGACTTCTAAATGGTGTTTGTATACGATCAATAAAGATATTTCTATTTTATTTTAATATAACGTTTGAGTTAAAACAACAAAATCTTCAACCGACATTTCATACAACCAAAAATGTAGCGAATAATTTCACAGAGACATAATTTTAAAATGCTCGATATTTTTGCTCAGGTTCAGACCCAAACAATAAACTAATTTGCCACCGCTATCCACGCACGCGACGTTTTTTTAACACGAATGCATCCAACAAAGCATCGAGGAAGCGTTACAAATCGTGGCGAGCGCGCGTATATTGCCGTTAGATGTCGCTGCACGTGGCGGTTGATTCATGCCGGGGGTCTTCCCAACCGCAGCATTCTAATTGATGACTCTATAGCAGAGAGTTTTTTGAGGGTTCAGCGGAGTAATGGAATATTCCTGTCATTGCTGCATTTTCTGTTGCTTTATATAGCTGAAATTGTGTAATTTTAGTGTATGTATAATCCACAATCCACACCCACCCTTAATGATATTATATAAAAGTTATTTAAACTATAAGAAACCTTGTAGATCAGGAGAGTGCTTTAAAAGTTCAAACTACGCGAGCAAGCCGGAATGCCCAACTTTGAATGTATTAATTGTAATTTAAATGCTGATTTATAATAATGTCTTCCAGACTGAATTTCGGTTACGGCTATCTGTCTCAATGAATACTAGCCATCTGCAGAGAACAGGATCTCCCGTTCACTTTCACATCTGCTTAATACGGACTTTCAATACGCTCTGATGGTCGGAGCCAGGTCTCAAGTTAATTTCTCTGCATACAAAAATCCTACAACGGTGACCCTCACCGGCACAGACTCTACTTGGCCTTAAAATCCTCGCAGGAATGAGGAGTGACCTATGCTAAGCATTAAGACAGTTATAACCTAAAATTGGCTATAGCCAAAGCAAACATGCTACTTTTTTCACTTTAACTTCTGTCCATAAATATCTGTAAATGATTATTTTTGTCACAGGATTGTTCGTAACAAAGCAGCAGAAAAGGCTAAGCACGCCCACAACCAGCAACAGCAACAACAACAGGAACAAGAGATCAGCTCAGCGCAAGGCAGTGTTGTCTCTGTAAGTAACCGTTATTTACTTATAAATATCGATAGATAGTTATCGATGTTCATTCATTAATCAAAATGTTACTTCACAAACATGGAACCGTTCGATAAGAATATTTGGCAAGATTGGCAACCAGGTTTGCGTTATCTACACCCAGTTTATTATCATTATCATAGCATACCTTCAAGTAACGACACAAAGCTTATTTTTGAGCCACGTACGTCCATCTTCCATCTTGCCGCTCTTACCAAGATATTTACTTTTGGACAACTTGTTATTGGTAAAAGAGACAGGATGTCGTCACTCCATCTAGTGAAAGGACCCCTTACACCTCGCTTACCGGTACGAGACTGTCAACTTACTTGTTCATTGGTAGTTGGTTCTTCGAGCTATATGACCGGCCAATTGCTACTTCATCTCACTGATCCGTTGGGTTACATCGTATGTATGTAATTACGTATGTAACATATTTAAATATTCCTATCAGGTAATAACGCACGCTGGCAACGCCCCTGGAACCACAGCCGTGCTGTCACCAACCACAGATCAGCATGTAACCAACACGGGTAGCTACAGCATCAACGGTATCCTCGGCATCGAACAAGTCGAAGGATTGCATAATGGAACCGCAACGGGACTGAAGAGGAAAAGGCACGAGGACCAAGGTGAGAGAAACAGAAGTTGGTCTGACTTATGTGTTCTGGAGTTAATGTTACAAAAATAAGTGATATTCATTCTGTAAATACTAGGAACAGACACAAGCTAGTAGTAGAAGTTACTCGACTCCACCGAGTCAGTAATTCAATCTTGGGGCGATGTATTACGCTTTTTCAACAAAATCCCAGAAAATATACAAAATTTGACATACACAAAGTTCAAAAATTTTATTAAACTAAGTTTGTATAAAAAGGGTTATTATAATATTAAGAAATTTATGGATGATAATAACCCCTGGGAAGGGTGATCGCTACCAAGCTATTTCTAATTTGTTTTGTGTTGTGAATTGTAACGTACATGATTATTATTTTTAAAATAGTCCCGCTGGGTTTCTTGCTGGTTCTTCCCAGGACAGAGGTGTTTTTATACGAACCAGCGGTAAATGAAAAAAGTGACTTTCAATAAGTATTGTTTAGAATCTATATTGAATAAAAAAGTTTCTGTTTCTGTTTCAATAATGTCTGTAATGAGTATAGAGATGTATTGGGTTATGTCACTTATTAATATACTACGTGGTTTCTACCTAGGAGTCCGTCTGGGTATAATAATATAAAATAAAAAGGCAATTTTGAAAATTATATTAGTATAAAATGCTAGGATTCTTCACATAGATAATAACTTTTCTTTGTAAAGTGTTGTAAAACTTGTAAGTAATTATATTGAAGTAAGGGGATTAAAATACTTGTGAGGACCCAGCGGAGCCCCGTACCTTACGGCCTGGGTCATTAGTGATGCGACTTTGTAGAAAACACAAAAATATAACGTGTTTGCTATTATTTATAAAGATAACTACCAATTTTTTTGCATTTTACTTTCAACAGATTTTTGCATCTCGTCTATCTTAATCGTAGATACAAATAATATGGTAAATTATAAAAGTTCTATAGAAAAAGAAATAGATATACATCTATTAACGAAACTGTATTTAATATTTTACTTATAGTGTTTATTATATTATACTTAAAATTTATTAGATTTTTTGAACATAATCCAAAATTTCACCGAATGATAATTTGATTAATTTACTTTATCATTCTAATAAATGTACGATGGACGTTACATGATATATGGGATTAAAAATCTAAGTTTAACTTGTAGTGGCGGCGTGAGAATATCCAGTACATCAATTTATACTAAATATCTTTCCGTGGTTGTCATTAAAGGTAATAGAGGGAAACTGAGACAGAATATGAGCAGCATCTTCTTAATGACAACTGAAATAAAAAAAACTGTAGTTGCCATTAAGCCCGCCAAGCGTGGCAACAATGGCAAAATCCTCCCTATAAGGCAATCTATGTGGAAGGCCTCTGTCCAATAGTGGACTTTTAGAGAAAGTTTTGAATGGATAGATGAACCTATATATTAAATTTTAAAACTATCGACAAGTACTTAAAATTGCGTGGTACAACACTACTATCCTTTTACCATAGCGCTGTTCGCTCAGCGGAACCGGCAAGATTTACTGAGCTATTAAATCCCAAGCACAAATTCAGGCCATATTATATTACGTTATAATTTCTCGTGAAATTCTCTCTCTTGTTAGCTCGCCAGACTTTATGACAGCGTCTCGCTACCTACTTCCACGCCGTGTAATTTTATTCGAAGCATATTAAAAAACGCAACCTATGTAGCAGTGATAATACTTATTTTAAATGAGGCGTTAAAAATATTAATAACACTCTTGTTAATGTTATCCCCACATTCAAAATGTTACATAACGTTAAGTTTATCAAAAAAAATATCCTAGTGTTGCCCTTCCGAAAAAATGTACCCACAACATGATCTAATTCAAAAATGTTAGTAGCATTCACTAAATACAATAACGATGAAGTAAACACAACTATTAATAATAAATCATTAGTAATTATTTATTATCTTATCATCATCATCATCATCGTAACAGCCCTTCACAAGTCCACTGCTGGCCTCCCCCAAGTACAAAGCACGGTCCTCGATCTTTGTGGCATCTATCCTATACCTTTAAACGAGCAATACTATAAAAAAAATATATAATTTATATATATATATATATATATACAATCGGAATCTCGGAAACGGCTCCACCGATTTTCATAAAATTTAGTGTCCAGGGAGTTTCGGGGACAATAAATCGATCTAGCTAGGATTTATTTTTAGAAAATGTCTTTTTGTCCGTGTTTTCAGACAATGAAAAACTGCTACAATATAAGAAGGTAAATTTTGACATCATGTTAATAATCGTAATAGCTCAAGTGGATATCGAGCGGTCGCGAAATCGTAATGCCTTGGATCGCGTCCTGTCTACGGTCGGAGTTTTTTCTTTTTTTTTCAAGTTCCCTTCTTTTGTGAGAAAATCTATTATTTTGAGCCCTTTTTTAGTGTTTTTTATAAATACGAAAATTTTAATTAAACTAATTGCACTCATGATTTTTTATTCAAATAACCAGTCATCCGGGTCATCTTTGTTATATATTGTCATTATCTTATAATACAATATAATTCTTCAGTCCGTGTGTATGTTATGTTACTGAGCTCCTAAACAGGTGGACCGATTTGGATGAAAATGTGTGTGTGTGTGTGTGATTAACTTAATGAGAGAATGGCTTAAATTTACAATTGGCCCAGTAGGTGGCGCTGTTGTCGAAGGGGCGGGGCGTATCGCTAGTTTATAATCAATTAATAAACTATTTATAATAAAAGTTAATTATGTATTTTAATGGAAAGAGCTTAAAGCATCAAGTTAAAGCTTAATGCATAAAGCTTTGGATGTTTAAACCCAAGCTATGCCTATGGACACAAATTGGCTCAAATAGTATAACATTAATAATATCATTTTATCTAAAAACTTTAATTACTCAAAGACCCGTATACATTATATATTATAGTATAACATTAATAATATCATTATTATCTAAAAATTAATTTAATTACTCAAAGTGACCCTTCGTATACATTACATTGTAATCATGTGTTATTTTTTTAAATATTAAGTAAATTAGGCACAAAAACTTCAGCCTTTTCGCAACAACATTCACAATGCAATTTCTATAATCCGAATCCCTAAAACCAAATACTACAGTCCGTGTTAGGAAAACCTTGCTTAGAGTCGTAGATTTATTATAATTTTAAATATTTCAATAAAAATATCTTCAACAGATGAGAATAGAGACTTCAACAGCCACTCCGAGGATGACGTCAAGAGACAGCGAAGTCATTACAATGGCGACCAAATATATTCAAACGTACGTATTACATATATATGTTTATTTCGTGCATATATTATTGGAATTTATTCATTTGGTACACCTTTTTATTCGTTTAAAATGAATGGCGGACTTCCCAACTAGCTATAGCCAACCAGGCAGAAGTTCATGACGCACTCTTGAGCTACTCGTCTTTGAGCTCTAGTCAAATGTAATATTTAATAAGATTTTTCAAGACGTCAAAATAAAATTGGTATAAGAATTTCGTAAAAAGATTATAATTTGTAATACAATATGATATTTCGACTATAAAAACTATGATGAAGTCATAGTTTTTAAAGTCAAATTAACATATTATTTGCATATTTTTTAATAAACAACATCTAATTTAGCTTAGAATGGAAACTCCACCTTTAGACTTGTGCCATTCCCGTTGTTAGGACGACTTTCCTTAATTATCGCGCTTGGCTCCTGGATTCACGAGCTCAGTACCAGACGTGAGCACCTTTAATGCTGCTGCCCGTTGTCGACATGAATATTTTTTTTATAAAGTTAAAGTTGACAAAGGAGTACACAGTCCACCTGATGGTAAGTGGATGCTGTGGTTCATATATATCTTCATTTATCCTCGATTAAGAATCAAAATGCAGATGCGTTGTCACCGCTGAGGACTAAAGAAAGTTTGTTAAAAAACATAAAATGTTTTTTTGTGCTTACTTAGTTTTCTTCCGAGCGCTTGCTCGGTGTAGCTATTTAATAATTTGTGTATTATGAAGTAATTGCATCACTTTCATTTTGACACTCCCTTGTGAGCTTCACCGACAAAGGGTGAAGGCACGCCCCCAAAACTACGATTCATTTTCAAGGTATCCTTTTAAGTAGCCAATAGAAATATTTAAGTGTGAATTCTCTTTAGCTATGGTCTTCGAAGTGGAGCCTGAAGGATGAGTACAAGCTCCTGTCGGAGTTGGGCAGCGCTGGCGGCGCGGGCGGCTACTACGGAGAACTGTTCGACGCGCCCTACGAGCACGCAGCGCACCCGCACTACACACCGCACTCCGGTAGGTGTATTTTCGCTTTGTATTTAACGTGTACGAAAAAAAGCGCGAGAAACAGCATTTTTTGAACGTACGAGAAAATAAGGCTTTAATTTTTATTTGAAATTATCCCAAATTGAATGAGTTTTATGGGCAATAACATTTTTGCCTACCGATCGACCCTTACGAACGTGTGCGTAGGCAGTAAAATCAGTTAAAATAATGCATTACCACGCAGTTTGAATTTAAGAGATTAAAAGGATAAAATATCTATGAATGCCTATATTACTTATTCTAACCTTCCCTGCGAATTTTGCCATTTATAGCAATATGCCATTCTACAGTTATATTAATAGTATAGTTGTAGCACGAATGGGTCGGCTCGACCGGGGAAGGACCACATTCTCACAGAATACCAGCATGTAATAGTAGTAGCTTAATGCTGCTGTGTTTCGTATGGTGTAGAGAACCGGAGACCCTTTTTACTGGAAATGAGACATTCCATCTTAGTCCTCACGGGTGACAACGCATCTGCATTTAGATTTGTAATCGAGGATAAATGTAGATGTCTATGGGCCGCAGAAACCACTTACCATCAGGTGGACTGTGTGCTCGTTTGTCATCCTATTCTATAAAAAAATATAAACCTGTATTAATCAATCTGTATATCTGAAATTGTTCTGTCTTTATATACTCTTCAGACTGAAATACAGCACTAAATGCACAGCTGTTTGGTAGGTAAGATGGCGGTGCTTACTCGGACGGACTTTTACGCAGAAAACTAGTCCTGTCAATTTTTATGTTATATGATATTTCTTTTTTATTAAGCTTAGGGTGACAAGCGAGCACGCAGTCTGTTTGATGGTAAGTGGTTGCTGTGGCCTATAGACATCTACAACTACCCTCGTTTACGCATCAAAATGCAGCCTTGTCAGCCGTGAGGACTAAGATGGAATGCCTCTTTTCCAGTAAAAAGGGTTTCCGGTTCTCTACACTCACCATACGAAACACAGCAGCATTAAGCTGCTATTTTACGCTGGTATTCTGTGAGAGCATGGTCGTTCTCCGGTCGAGCTGACCCATTCGTGCTACAACTATACAATTAAGATAGGTGCAGCATGGCTATACTACGTTTAAAATTCTTGATAGGATGTGCATTAGTAAAACTCTTTTAAAGATTATAATGAGCCGACAGATGTACCGTTTGTTTATAACTTATAATAAATTGAGGAAAGGTATTTCGCGTGGTCAAATTCACAATGTTACTATCAACAATGTTACCGCAACCTCTAGGGAATCTGGCAAAACAGTTAACCAATCCAAATGCCATAACGTCATCATAGTCGCGTCACAGCCGGTAGTTTTCAGGGCGTGACTAATCACTTCTTTAATTATATCGGATTAGGGAGGTGGACATTTGAATAATTGCTACAATCTTGATGGAAACAATTACAATTTTGAAATCGCTGGTTATCGCCCTTTGGAAACAAGCAACAAAAATTCTAGAGAAAGTCAGGGGCCGGTAGCTCGCTTCAAATTTTGTTTACATATTTACATAGAGTCATATGAATAATTGCAATCTTAATTTCTGATTTACCGCTTGCTCCCAATCAAGGAAACTCATAACGAAAGCTAACCTATCCATATTTGGAAGGTATGTGTAGTCCGTTGGAGGAATCTTGGCTATTATATAGAAATAAATTATATTTTTATAGGTGGATTATAGGTTGTTCTTTCTCGTATAATTTCTCATTCAAAATACGAATTCCACTACAAATAACCAACACACTTCTCCACTGTTAAATATTGTATTAAATCGTGTATTAGCATAATGTATAAACGGCTCATAGACTACGCTCTCACAGAATACCTGCGTAAAATAGCAGCTTAATACTCCTGTGTTTTGTATGGTGAGTGTAGAGATCCGGAGACCCCTTTTCACTGGAAACTAGGCGTTCCAGGGGTGACAACGCATCTGCGTTTTGATTCTTAATCAAGGATAAATGTAGATGTATATGGGCCACAGCGTTCACTTACCATCAGGTGGACTGTGTGCTCGTTTATCACCCTTATTATATTTAAAAAAATCAGTCAATAGAGAATTTTAAAACTGTCAGTAGTTCTTTATATGTAATTAACAATGGTAGATTCTCAAATCTCAGGAAAGAACACAATCTGTGGGTAAAGTGTCGACCGCATCCTGGTGGCTCTCAGTAACACAAGACGCGTGCGCGGGTGCGGGTAACGCGATCTGAGACCTGCTAACTAGGCACTGTTGTCTTTTGTGGGTCAACGACTTTATCTAGTTACGTCTGAAATTATTTCCACGTTTCATTCAGATATAGTCGCGAGGCGAGTATTAAAGCGTGGTCCTTTACCGGTCGAGCTGACCCATTCGAGTTACAACCATAATATAGCTATAGCATGGCTCTTCCACGTTTAAAATGATGCCGGGTTTGTTCCCCTTTTTAAAATAATATACCAGCTATACTATTTGTGAACATACATAATAATACATAAACACTCACGCCTGTCACCCAGAGGGGAAGGCAGAGACTACAGACTTCCATTTAGCACGATTCTGACATACCTCTCTCGCCTCTTCCACATCCATATACCTACGCATACATGCTCGTCGGTTAAGAATACTCTTAATTTGGCCCATTTATAATATGTCGCCAATTTGGTCGACAAACTTTCGCCTAGGACGTCCCTTTCCGATTCTTCCATTCACTTCTGCAACGTATATTTGCTTTGTCAGTCTTTCCTCATTCATTATTGCTACGTGACCAAACCACCGAAGCATTCCTTTCTTAATCCTGGTCACCGCATCATCTTGTAAACCACACTCTTCTTTTATCACACAGTTTCTCACCCTGTCACTCAGATTCAGCCCTAACCTTAGCGACCGCATTTCTACTGCATTTATTCTACTGCTCTCGTGCTTCTTCTGCCACACCCAACTTTCACAACCATACGTTAAAGTAGGGACTAATACACATTATGAATGGCCATACGTGCCTTTTTTGACACATTCTGACTTTTCACAATAGATTGTAGAGCCCTATTTACTTTATTTCCTGCATTCATTCACATTTGTGAACAATTTTTTTTTCACATTATGTCATCCTAATTTGCTAAAAGAATAGTTGGCAATATAAACTGTTTTATATGCGAGGTGCATGTAAAGACACTTTATGTTATGTAATAAAACGGATCAGTCCGGAAAACGAAGCGTTTCTTGAATTTAGAAATCAGGAATTAGAGGATCAGATCCTCTGAGTCTCAGAAGTCTAATTTCCTTACTGACCACTAAGGTTGTGAACAATAAATATTTTTTAGAAAAAACAAATATTACTTCATCATTTACTATTAAGATTGCTTTTAAGTTGTTTATATAAACTATAGCAGGCAATACTTGCCTTAAGGTTAATTAGACGCATCTAGACGAAATAGGATTAAGTCCAAACTCTGGTTTAATTGTATGTGTAATGCGGTAATCCAAATTTACGCAAAACTTTGTTTTATGAATTGCAGTCGTTAATAAAAACTGCATTTTGATTTTAATTTCATAATCCAATTACACATTGACATTCACATTTCTAAAAAATACGAAATAAAAAACTCCTAACTAACCATTCACGTTTAAAAAATAACATCCTCATCAACAAACCCATTGTTTTGCAGTATTTTCAACTAAATACAATCTTTTATGTGATTTTTTTCCCATGTACTATTTGTAACTTACTTTATAAATTGTTATTGTTTAAGTTTGCTTGTAAAGAGGGTCTAGAACCCTATAAGACGTGTTTACCACGGAGCAAATGTACATAGCTCCGTGGTGTTTACCTATTACAGGGTTTACAAAGTTTTTTTTTAGATAATGTTATTTACTGCTCTTTATAATACTAGACCATTGTCTATTTTGATTAAGTAATAAGGTGATAAGTCATATTAAGCACACTAATTAAATTCAAATATTGTTTCCCTGTACATTTATTTTATAGGTACCCTAATCCTTGTCAGTGTGCCTTTATAATCAGATCACCCTGTCTCTGATCTACAACCGTTCACCGTTTTAATCGATACCTATATTCATCATCATCACCGTCATCATTACAGCCCTTCACAAATCCACTGCTGAATATCACAAAGCACGGTCATGAGCCACCTGCGTCCATCGACTTCCTGCATGTCTTACCAGGTCCTCACTCCATCTAGTGGTGGGTACACCTCGCCTACCGGTACAAGGCTGCCACTCGAGAACTATTTTTCCCCATCGGTTGTCGGTTCTTCGAGCTGGGTTATATTAGATCACCATTAAACAAAGTCAAAGTATTAGTGTTCCTAATTTCATCCCTTAGATATAGCTTATTGATATTTTGATAGGTTTTAGATAGTAGTCGCCAATCAATTCAAACAATTGGATCAACCGTTTCACCTTTCCCTTGTATTGCTCTGCAAAAAACGAATTCCAGTTGGAACAGGTGCAGTTTTATCAATGGAAAATATTTCTAGTTTTGACGTGCATCGATATTTCCCATGGCAATAGTAACCGCAGCCTTGTGGTTTGCTTTCTTACATTCACTGCGATATCCGTTACGTTTGTACGTCTTTTCAAAGTCACATGGGAATTGAGTTGTGAATGAAATGGGAATTATCAATATCAAAAATAAATACTTTGATAAAGCGAACTTAAAAGATTAAGTATTGTTTTGATTTCGTTCGAATGGAATTTGTATGTAAACTCCAAATTCTAAAATAAGATTAATAAGTACTTTATCTGCAAATAATAAAAGTATCACCACAACCTACAAAGATAAAGGCTTACAAAAACAGAAATGTCAAAGCTAACAGCCGACGCCTGCTAAAAGCTAAAACTAAATGCAATTAAATGCGGTTAGTTAAACTTAGGTGCTGCGCTGCCTATCTTCTTAGAAGCACTCCTTTTTTATAACATTGGGTGACAAACGAGCACAATCACCTGATAGTAAGTGGATGCTGTGGCCCATAGACATCCACATTTATCCTCAATTAAGGATCAAAACGCCTGAGGACTAAAATTGAATGCCTCGACTTCAGTAAAAAAGATCTCCGGTTTCTCTACACTCACCATACGAAAACGAACGAACAGCAGCATTACGCTGCTATTTTACGCTGGTATTCTGTGAGAGTGTGGTCCTGCCCCGGTCGTACCAACCCTTCGTGCTACAACTATAATATAGCTACAGCGTGGCTCTACCACGTAAAATACATACTGCTCTTCTCCTGATGACAACTCCAAATAATAAAAATCTGCGGATGCCCCCACTATGAGATTTGATAGGCTATACATGTATGGATGGATAAAATTCATCTCTCCCTAAGAATGACTACGCGTCTCCCAGTATGGTCGTTGTGGGTAGTTGGTTACAGATGTTACTGTTAGCTCGCTTATCTATTATTTTAAATAAGAAAGTGAAAGCAGTAGAATATTTTACTACAAGCTAGTAAACAATCAAAATGCAGACTGAGTGATATATTTTCTACCTAGCAGTCCGTCTATATACTTACTAATCACCGTCTTACCTCTTTGTGCCGTAAAGCGGCAGTGTCTATGCTACTGCGTTCCGGTCTGAAATTTATAGAAAATCAATATAATTCAGGATGTGAGTTATATTTTAGTCCTCAAATGTGACAACGCATCTGTAGTCTTTTTGTTTGAAGTTGGTTTCAGATGTCAATGGGCTTGCAAAATAAACACTTATCATCAGTTGGAATGTAAGTTCATTTGCCTCTACTACTGTTTTTTTTAATTTATAAAAAAAATCTATTCTTAACGCTGAAATGCAGCAATTTATTGGATGACAAAGTGCAGTCGCATCGCATACAACTCTAGTATAAATCTCATAGAACACCGCCGCGCTCCAACCGCTTCACAATGGACGCGATCGATCAATGCAATTCAAAAAAGGAACAACGATCGGAGAGATTTATTTTTAGATGTTAAATGGAAACATGGCGTTGGGTTACTAGTTTAAAAAAAATCTATATTATAATATAATATAATAGCTGAAAGGTATACAGCCAGTATAATTAAAGTCTGTAATGCATTCCATCTAAGTCATTCTGCATCTATATTATGCATATACGTACCAGCGCGAATGGGTTGGCTTGACCGGGGAAGAACCACGCTCTCATACAACACCAGCCTGAAATGGCAGCTTCATACTGCTGTGTTTCATATGGCAGCATAAGTGTAGAGAACCGGAGACCTTTTTTTGCTGCAAACGAGGCATTCCATCTTAATCCTTGGGGAGTATACTGATTCTCAATACAAGAAAAATGTAGATATCCATGGACCATAGTATGCACTTACCATCGAGTGGACTCTACGCTCGTTTGTTACCCTTATTCTATAAAAGTGTTTCATTAGCTAGTATGAGTGTAAAGAACCGGAGACCTTTTTGACCGGAAATAAGGCATTGCGTTTTAATCCTCAGATGACAATGCATTGTGCATATTGATTCTTATCAGATAAAAAATGTTACTTCACAACGTGCCGCAGCATCCACTTACTATCAAGTGGCTGTGTACTCGTTTGTCACACTTATTCTATTAAATAAAACCTTGGCTACGTGAACTCTGCCTCATATAAACCTTTGTTCCTCAGCAACCAACGATTCGACTGGCTCAAACGCTGCCGGTGAGCCTCCATCGGCGGCAGCGAGTCCGGACGCAGCTGCGCTTGTTGTGTTGCAACCACCAGCACCGCCTTATCCACCTTACGCTCACTACGACGGTAAGTAGTAGTACGAAGTTTTATAATTTCTCTATTTTTAGTTTCTCCTTATATTTTGGCATATCGCATAACCATCACTGCCACGTGCCTCTTAATCGCGGTTGCTGACCATGAGGTTTTGGGTTCGAATCCCCAGTCGGACCAAAATAAGATATAGGGTTTTTCTGTCAAGAAATTCTCAGTAACAGCCTGGAGTCAGGAAGTTGGCAGTGTTCACTCCCGAGCCTCGTAAAGAACTTAAACCCGGTCGTATCGGATAACCGTCTCATCGGACTTTGAGAATGACAAAACAGAGAGTGCACCTGTGCTTACGCATACACTCGGCCGCTATAATCCTGTCCCGTGCAGATGGCTGATCTCCGTTGAGACTGGCCACCGTGACTGAAACTCGGTTTGAAGGACGTTAACCATCATGATAGCGCTTCCTGTGGTGGTAGGTTCTACGTGGTAGAGCCATGCTGCGGCTATATTATGGTTGTAGCATGAATGGGTTGACTCGAACGGGGAAGGGCCAAGCTCTCACGGAATACCAGCGTGAAATAACAGCTTATTTGTTTTATACTGTATTTCGTATGGTGAGTGTAAAAACTCGAGGAGCCCTTTTAATGGTAACGAGGCATCTTTTAGTCGTCAGTGGTGACAACGCATCTATTTAAAATTGGTTGCAATTATCCATGTTCTGTCACTTGCCATTGAGTGAACTGTCTGTGAGTTCTGATGCCCGATTTCCATATACACACATTAGCAATTTTTTTTATAGAATAATCGTGACAAACGAGCACACAGTCCACCTGATGGTAAGTGGATGCTGTGGTTCATAGACACCTACATTTAACTTCGATTAGGAATCAGAATGCAGATGCGTTGTCACCATACGAAACACAACAGCATTTAGCTACTATTTTCCGCTGGTATTCTGTGAGAGCGTGGTCCTTCCCCGGTCGAGCCACCCATTGGTGCCTACAACCATAATATAGCTGCAGCGTAGCTCTACCACATAGTATTCGCCAGTACAGCCTCACAAAAGTCCGTTGCTAATCATAGGCTTCCCCCAAAATTTGTCTCATAAGGATATATTTGCCATAGTTGCCATACTTCGCAGGCGGATTGGAATCTGCAGTTTCTTTTAATTGTTACGGTAATAAGAAGCTGCTGCCTATATCCTGGTTCGTTTCCCTCTGCCGCCTCTTATACCCTTTTTCTCTTTAATTTCATTTGGTATTTTACAATTTGCATAGGGGTAGGAGCTTCTTTAAAGTACCTTAGTAGGCACTTGTGTCAGAGACTCCCGCTCTTCATAGCCATACAAAACGTTCTAGAAACATAAGATTACATATAATACAAAAAAAAGTTTTAAATTATTCAAAAATAAATGTGTCTATGTATGTATGTGTCATAAAAAAAACATGTTAACGAATTCTTACTTCACTCCACACATTTTTCATAACTTTCTACTTTTTATTATCATACTCCACGCATATCGTGGCCTCTCAACACTAAAAACCTTAATATGCCTTTGGTCCTTAATCTACCGCAATCTGCTTACTCCGAGGTGGGGGGATGGGGAGACAGACATCTTTAATAGCTCATTCGGGACTATGCAAATAATTTTAGCGGCGGGGGAGCCATACGGGCTTTGTCTAAGACGAGTAACGAACCGTAGCGTGATCATCATGGCATGAGGCGTCTTCAAACGGGTTCGAGGCTTATTTCGGTTATAAATATTAAAGTGTCATCTATAGGGTGGCTGAGAGTGGTTACGCTCTATGTCGCGAGCAAGGGGCGTGTCCTGTGTGAATTTTAAATAGGTAACTTAAGGCTTGTCGACTTCACTGGTAGATGTGGGATATAATATACATTTGCCAATTATTCTGCCATTTTATCGTTTTGTTGTGATTGATTACTTTTTGGCCGTGGAAAATTATAGTTTCCGAAATGCTGACAAGGCTGTTGGTTGTGTGTTCAGATCACGATCATGTGAGGTCACCAGTTTGTCCTTGGAAGGAAAAGGGGAAATCTCCCGACGGGCAAGGTGTTCTGCCCGGGGAGCGGCCAACGCTCTGTGCACAGAGTACATTGTATATACGCTCTATGTGATAATTCGGAGCTATTCTATATATACTGTTGTACTTCGGAACTTTGATAGCGCGATTTAGGTTCTGATGTGTTTCGCTTATGACGCGACAATAGTGCCGCCACAACTTCGTTCAGTGGAATGGAAAAAAATGTTTCTTTTATACATATATCATCATAATCATCATCATCGTTATTATAATTACAGGCTATCAAAGTTAACTCCTGAACGTAAGGGTAAGCCTCTTTAACAGATCAACACATGGGGGATATTTGCCATAGTTGACATGCTTGGCAGTCGGGTTTGCCAATCGCAGTTTTTATGATTTTGAGTTAACGTTAAGAAGATGCTGTTACCATCTCTTGTTTCAGTTTCCCTTTTTGGCCTCATATATAAATAGACTGCCTCGTTTTCCTAGTGCGTTAATTTCGTGTTCGACTGCAGACCATATGGTCCCGGTTTCGAATCCCGAGCCACGAGTGTGCTAATATAATTGCAGCATGACTCTGCCACGATCAATAAGTTGGATTACATTATTCAATGTGATCGGAATAAAAATCGCGTTATTTGGGCGTGTTCGACCAGGAAGCTTCCATATAAATAACAATAATATTCCAATGGATTTTCTTTTGTTTTAGGCACTACAACTCTAGCAAGCGAGTACGCGTACGCGGCGCCCTACTCACAGTACTCGCCTTACGGAGGCCCGTACTCACATTCCGCTGCAACGGGGTTGCTGTCCAAGTGGTAAGTAAGAAATGTTCCAGTTTTAACATTTTCAATTCTTTATTAATTTTACATTACAGATACATTCATTAATTTATCACAATCTGTCTAAAGTATGGATGCTACGAATACTATATGACAGGACTCTGCTTTAGATTGCTTCCTGAGTGGGATATTTGCCACGGTTGCCACGCTGTTATCAGGAAGATTATGCTGACTACCTTCTGCTATATTCCCCTCTATCGCCCCTTACGAAACCCACGGGATGATATGGGGGTACTGATGAATGAATAGATCGCTACAATTATGTCCTTAGTTTTTAAAAATAATTTATTAGTTTTCAAAAAGACACAAACTTTTGAAAAGTTTCAATACATTTAAACAGGTAACTAGTTGTAACTATGTTAATCTTTATGACCTAGATTTGAGTTTGCCTTGTTGTCAGATATCTGTTACATACGAGCTGGTATACCTTTATGCTTCAAAGATCATGAAACTATCTTGGTTTTTTACATATACTCCTATAAAACCGTATATAAATATGCACATAAAAATGTTTTGGGAATTTTCTTTTAATAGTAATTGCTATTAGTATTTGTCTACAGTTTTCACACCAATTTATTGCGTATACATGTAGATGAGTAAATCTTGTTAAACTAAGCACACATCATGACATAAAGTTAACCTAAATTCCGTTCTCTCGAGACGGACTTCAGCAAAGCCTTCGACCGCACGTACATTACGACTCTGACCAGATTTTACAGCCTTTAAAACGCTAGCCCATTTAACAACTGCCGGGTTACAAATGGCGGCGTGTACTGAATAAATCTGAAACGTTTTATCACTCGTAACCGCTGGATGGACTCGCTTTTAGAGGTGTGCCTCAGGGATATACGTTAGCGCCTGCGGTTTTCCTGTGTTTTAAATTTCACCATTCTTAATTTGTAACGCCAAAATATCAAAAATTTTGTCGAAAATAATTTCAAATATATTAATATTGCTTCCTCTGATACACAGTAGTGGTAGAAATCAGCTAGAAGCATATCAAATCGGCTTTTACTGTTTCATTGATTATTATCGACACCAAGACTTAATGGCAGTAAAATAAAATAGTCCCTTTAGTACAGAGTAAGAAAAAAAGATAATGAGTTGAATAGATCCATTATTACAAAGATAATATGTACCTTAAAACCTGTATTAAGGTAATCCGTGAAGCAATGAATTTCAAATTCATATAACAACCATCGTCATCGTCATTATCATTATAGGTTATTACAATCCTCCTTTAGGATTCCTCCTTTGCAATCGAATTTTTTCACTTTAGTTCTTATTAAAAGACGGTGCTACTTATTTACTGACTTATTACCCTATTTCACGTCTTACGACTCCCACCATGGGACGATATGGAGTAGTGGATATTTTTACACCGGCACTAGATGATAAATCATAATAATAATCGCTATATAATAAAATAGTAAACACATGAATTTCATATGTAAGCCAGTAATACAAAAAGTAAGTGTTGATTCATCGCATCGCTGATTTAATAAATCTACTATGAAATTGAATGTGGATCCCTAAGGTGATACTTCAAATCCGGTGTCAGTATACAGTCAACAAATAACTAACGTAATAAAATCTTTTTTATTGTCCTGTCTCTACTTCTAAATTTACCTGGAATAGATAGTTCTACATATGAAATTTTATTTATGTTGAATACTTATTGTTAACCTTGTAGTGGCGGATGTTAGAATATCCACTACCCCATATCATCCCGTAGATGTCATTAGAAGTGACAGGGGAAAACTAGAACAGGAGATGGGCAGCAGCATCTTCCTGATAACAACTTATAATAATAAAAAACTTCGGTTGCCAAACCGCTTGCCAAGCGTGGCAACTATGACAAAATCCCCCCCGTAAGGTAATATATAGAGTGTTAAGCAATTGGTTAGGGATGGAATACTTGCAATGTTAAAATAACGCACAAGAAAAAATATGTCCGCCTTAAAAAAGAAAATTTCTAAATGAATAGTAAAGTTTTAATAAAAATACAGTTTACTATAACGAGAGAGAAACAATCGAAATACAATAAATGAATGCACTTTCGCACATTTGTCCTTCGGTCCTTTATTTCTCCCTTAGGATCGCAGACAAAGGGCTGCGTAAGGTCCCAAGGGGAGGGAGTAACTTACGGGCATTAAATTTAAGTGATTCTACTTCGATCGCTTTTAAAGTTTTTCTAGCTCAAGGGGAGATTGTGAGCACTTTTTCACTGATTTAAAGGTGACAAATCAAGTCACAGAGTTAATATATCGAGCAGCTTTTCAATATTAAATAAGAACATTTGTTTTAACTATTTATGGTATTTTATAGAATCCGGGTAAAAAATGAAAGTTCTCGTCCACCTGATGGTAAGTGAGTGCTGTGGGCCATAAACATCTACAATTATCCTCGATAAACAGTCAAAATGCAGATGCGTTGTCACTCCTGCTAGTCCTCTTAAGAATGTTATCCGGTTTTCTACACTCACCACACGAAACACGTGTTTCTTAACCCGGAGAACCGAACCATTCGCGCTATAACTATAATACATCTGCAGGGTGGCTCTACCGCGTAAAAAATTGGTGGTAGTTACCGAATATAGTATCATTGACTGTTAAAAATGCCGAATGAATTTCTTCCCTGTTTCTTCTCAGGGCTTTGGTCAACTTGAGACAATCGTAAATTCAAATTTTTTTTTATATTTCTTACGTCGAGAAATGTCAAGTTAATATTATGGCGTTACTGTTGGTATCTTCAACACTATTGCACTAGACTAAACAGAATCTGGTAGCCGCATACGACATCTAATTTCTATGATGTTAGTACTGTTAGCTACGGCTCTTACAGCTTTACCTGAGTCAAGTGCTTACGACTTAGTGTAAGACAATCCACTATCCCATATCAAACCGTAGGTGATATAAGAGATGACAGATGGTAACTGTAACAGGAGATCAGCTGCAACATCTCCTAAAAAGCGGATCGAAATATAAACCTGCGCTTGCTAAATTACCTGCTAAGCGTAACAACGATGACAAATTTCCTCCTTAGGTACTTCACAAGATTTTTAGGGGAAGCCTTCTTTTTATAGAATAAAGGTGACAAACCAACACACAGTCCACCTGGTGGTAAGTGGATGGCTGTGGCCCATAGACATCTTCCGTTAAAAATCAGAATGCAGATGCGTTGCCAGCCCTGAGGACTGACATGAAATTCCTCGTTTCCAGTAAAAAAGGTATCCGATTCTATATACTCACTACACGAAACACAGCAGCATTAAGCTGCCATTTAACGCTGGTATTTTATGAGAACGTGTTCCTACCCCAGTCGAGCCGACTCATTCGTACACACCACAATATAGCTACAGCATGGCTCTACCATATTCTATTCAGCCTATACTCAGCACTGTATTTTAAGCTGTAAAGATGATGACGATGCGGATGATCATTTTAACAAATTCAACGTTCTTTATCGTCCGAATTAAAAGGCCGCCGCAGCACGGCATGATATGTTAAAATAATCAAACATCCTCAAATAAGGTAATTAGAAAATATCCCAAGATTTGAAAACTACAAAAACATGGATAATTTTATTTATATTCGTTTTAGCTATAGTTCCTAAATATCTTGTTATTTCTTCGCAGATATCAGAGGACGCCGTGCGAGCAGTAGCGGTCGGCGAATCACAACGAACAAACAAAGTGATAATGGACACATTAAATATGAATTTGTGAGTGTTTTAGTTTAAATGAAAACTTGATCCATTCCCTTAGAAAATATCGTACGACTGTAGATAATTTGACTACATATATGTATGTACAATCGGAACTTGTTTAATTTTTCACAACTTTCCAGTGGTCAGTATGCTACCAATATCGCTTTCTCAGAATTGTTATCAATTTAATTTAACTATAAATCTAGCAATTCATTTATACTCTATATATTTAGTTAAATGAATTCATGAGAGAGCCAAAGTGTTTATAAAACTTCATTTAGGTTAAGATGTAAATAAATCTATGTTATTGATTCTAAATGTAATTACATTTATTGTCATAATTAGTATTAGGATCTTTTTTCTTTACCTCAATTTAGCTACAAATAGAGTGTAGAACGCGTTATACGAGTAGCTGTCCTTTTTTAGTTTAGGTTTCTGTTGTTTTATTTAAGCTGTCCTAAAGCACAACAGTATAGAACGTTTATTGACTTTTACAATAAAATTGTTATTATTCGCATAGCTTAACTAACTTATTATTTTTATATTGTTATGAATAATAGTTTCGTATATATGAATATTTATAAATGAATGAAGGGAAGCTTCTAAAAGGCAATATAGACGCGAGCCGTGTATTATCATCAATGCGTAATATTAAATGAAATTACAATGAGATTATTCGTATTTCCTTTTTTTACTTTTTATATAAAATGTTAGTTTCTAGTGTACGTTACGTAAAGTGTTCATCCATATTGCAAATATAATTTGAACATCACTAAGACAGATTAATATATTTATGTTCAGAATATATTCATTTATGTTCAGAATATTTTAGTTGTTATGATAATTTTTCATTATGAATTAGTGATGATTGATTCTAAAATCTTATCGTTTCCGTCCATTATTTTACAATTAGCTAATTTTATTTGTTGTAAATATCGCTTAGTACTTAAATTTTATTTTGGTTAATCGTTCCCGTTCCGCTGGTAGAATAAATTGTATGTACTTAAACATGTGTAATTTGTTTCAAAAAACACTTAACATACAGTTTAGAGATGCGCCAAAGACTTTAATATTGTAATGTCTTTACTGCAGGGTGTGTTTAGATTAATTTGTTCTAACTACAAGCATTAATGATATAAAATGGACTGTTTGACTTTGTGATTTAAATGATTTTAATTATTAATATACTTAAATTAATAATAACGGAGAGTGAACTCAAAAGATCGTGAGTCCTAATCCGCCATCCGACTATTGACATGAGCCACTCTTAAC